GTCCCAAGAGAGAGTGCCAAGGGCAGTGCCCTGCTTTTTAACCCCTGTGTATTCTCGGAGGTGTGTCCAAACCCCACTGGCTACACCAGGTGCCAGTCTCAAACCCAAAACCTTCATTGGTTTGACCACAGCTTCCCAGAATTCCCACTCCTTCCTGGTCAAACCACCACAGCCAGTGAGGCAGAAATAATACCTTTACAAGGTTCCCCTGCAGAACCGGAAGATAAAGCAAGATGAAGTGAGTATGATGTTTCTATTTGACCCTTAATATATTTTGTACTGTATATATATATCTGCCTCAAGAGAGATTTGGCTTAACCAGTATTTGTGTTATGTGTGCACAGTAATGACTAGTATTAGTCCTTCTGCTGTATTTATTTGAATAGAGATGGGACAGGCGCAGGACTTTGGTTACACATTTTTAAGTGCAAACTCAGAATTTTCTCTAATGTATTGGCTGTTAGTTCTTGCCTCATGAAACATGCTGGGTATTAAGAGTATTAGCAGAGGGAAAAGAAATGGAATATAGATTTAGTATTAATGGTTTAAGTATATGGGAGGGGATACATTTCTGTGAGTTTGGCCTCTCAGAAGAGACTTGTCATTTCAGAGCTTGGTGGTGTGCATCCAGTGTGAGGAACCTGTGACAGTCTTAAATGGTGAGCTGGGCAGTTGGCAGGTAACATTTATCTATGACATGACATCTCCTGGCCACGCTGGGCAGCATTCATGCTGGTGTTTAGAATTGGTCCTAGGGTTGTCCGAAACCATCTCAAGCAATATGAACTACCTTTCATGTATTCTGTTACACAGAGAAAAGCTATCCATATAATGGGCTTATCTTGCTTACTCAACACCAAAACATATTGACTTCCTCATGCTTTGCAAAATTGAGCTCATCTAGGCTTGGACTTTGGGTTGTGGACTCTATTTTCCAGCATTACAAAATTAAAAGGTGTGCTGGGCAGGAAGGGAGGATCAAGGAAGTAGGGCAGTAGTTCGCATTCAGTGCCCACATAGTAGGTGTGGTAGTGCTTAGCTCATTTCTGGACTGCAGAGTGGAGCAGGTCTGGCAGGTGAGCACAGCCTTGCAGCTCACACTGAGGCACTTGGCCAAGTCTGGCCCCTGAGCAGTCTGCTCCTGAGATCAGCAAATAACAGCCTGTAAGGTCAGGATGTGTGAGCTTGAGGAGAATAAAGATGGGTGTGAGCACAGGAGAAGGTGGGAGGTTTTTACTGTTGGTGTAGATGTACCTCTGGTGAATACAGTGGTTTTAGTCTTGCTTGTATATCTGTAAAGTGGTAGAGTTCACTTTTAAACATGCTGGGAAGAAAACCTCCCCAGAAGAATTGTTCTGACCCCTTGACCATTTGGTAGGTGCTGGAAGAGGAGAAACGAAAACAAGTGACTGCTTGGCTCAGATGGGAGTAGGGCTTCTGCCAGCATGCTCATCCATTCTCATCTGGATAAGCCTTTGGAAGTAGTTTCTTTGTGTACTTCTCTCAGGTGTCAGAGTTCATTGATGCATCATTTAGCAGACAAAGATTTTGGACTTAGATAGATAAAGAGATAGAGGGCATGGATATTTTGATTTAGGGTTGGGTTGCCTATGGAAGTCTTACTGAGCATGTGTGACTTGAGGTTTACTTAAATATACAGTATTTAATATGACATCCATATGCTGGTTTTGTAAGACTTTCATCTTGACTTGAACACATAGTTACCAAACCCTAATAATCAAAATTTTGGTCAGAGGACCACTGTTTGGGACAAAACTTCAGGCAACTTTTCAATACTTGTTAAAGCACAGAGAAATTGTCTAATATGGGAAGCAGAACTGACTCAAAAAATTATTTGAAGTATAGATTAGGTCTAAATGAAGTTCTTTTGGCAGTGAAAAGTAAGATTTTTTTTTTCCCTCCTTCTTTGACAAATCCTTATTTCAGCTTTGGTTTTTAGCTCAACAGATAGGTAGAAAAGCCAGAGCATATGGTGAGAAGCAAATAAATTTTGTGCTAAGGATATGTATGTAGGACTAGCTGTGGTAAGAGTATGATGATTTACTTAATGATACCTTTAATGGTAATCCCATCCGCACTTTGGTTTAGGCTGTTAAATCAGTCTCTTTTTGCATTAGAAATAATCAATCCCACTAATTCAATACATCTGTTCTATTGAAGTGTGTTTACTCCTAAATGCATATTTATTTTTCTAAAAATCTTACCAAGTAAACTGCTACACTGTAGGGACTGCAGTAGGAATGTCAACTCTAGAACTGTATGCTGAATCTGCTTATATTTTATAGCCATGAATATTTATGCATTGTGTGTTGTCCGTTTAAGCAGTACTTCTCTTACCCTTTGTTAGACCTGTCATACCATCTACATTGAACTGCAGTGTATTCTTAATTTTAAAAGAAATGTTGATCAGCACATCCTATGTAAAAATAATTTAGATGGTTTTTTGATTTTTTCTCAATGTCAAATATATTTTTAATTTATACTGTGGAAGGGTGCCAAGGGGACCAGGTGAAGAGGAGTTACCAATTCTCAGTATTTTGTGCAGTCTGTCTTCTTATGGCAGTTTGTGCTTTGCCCACCTGTCTGATTTTGTGAAACCAGGATGCCTCATCTGAACTGCAAATAAATTTGGGGGTTTACATCTGTTTCTTCTGCTTTATATCACTGATAGTTTTAATCCTGAAAATAAAAAGTACAACTTGAGCTAATCATCTTTGCTGTGTGTTCTGTACTGCTGTTTTGATACATGATGTTGTGAATCAACTATCAGTTGAGCTGAGTAACTTCTCTGATGCAGAATGGTGTCATGGAAGGTTGGTTTGGGATTTTTTTTGAGGTGCTACATCTTGCTGTACTTTTGTCCCCTGAGGAGACAGATGCAGACAACATCCTTATTTCTAGGATGTGCTGACAACTTCTCA